CGGCTTCTTTTCTATTTATGTGGTACTGAGGAATTGAACCTAGGGCTTCATGCATGCTAGGCAAGTACTCTACCACTGAGCCACATTCCCAACCCTGAATTTTAAGTTTTAATGCCTGTCTTTGTACTGTCTTACTGAGGAACTCAGGAATTTGTATGCTACAGTTAAGGGCAAAGATTCCTTTAGCATTTCTGTTTTCCCTTGTAGCACTGGAGAGCAAAGCAGGGCCTAGCACATGCCAAGCTCTAGTGTTGCACCACAGCCATGTTTGTTTGTTTGGGCAACGCTGGGGTTTGAACTCAGGGTTTCCAGCTGGCTAAGGCAGAGGCCCTATCATTTAAGCCATGCCCCCCACCTTTTTGCTATAGCTATTAGGGGTTTAGGGTCTCATGTTTTTGTAAAAGGTTAAAAAGCTGCTTTTGCTTGGCCCATGAATTAACTAAAATCAGGAGAAAATTCTGTCATCTCTGCCTCCTTGGTATATGGAGTCACCTTGGAATCTGGAAGGACATGTCATCACTCATCAATAATGTCTTTATGGGAACTGAGTCTGCCCCTAAGGGCATCAGAGCTTCCTTGGGACTGACTGTACACTGGGCACAAAGACTAGTTATCCTGCTCCGGGAAGGCAGAGATAACCTTCTTGAGCAAGGACTGAGATAACCACCCTGGCCCAGCCTGTGGCAGTGACTCTTTAACAGTGCATATCTTTGCTCTTTCCCCCAGTTCCCTGTCTATATAGGTACATATCCCACATCTGTACCCCTGAAGATGCTGATGTGCTGAAGTGATATCTTCCTGCAGCTGCCATGTAATAAATCTCCTTTCTCTGCCCTTTACCATATCCCATGTCCTTTGTCCCCATCTCTCAATCTCAATCTCCCCCCTCCCCCCAGCGTGCTTGCGTGCATGCGTGCCTGTGTGTGTGTGTGTGTACTGGGATTTGAACTCAGGGCCTTGAACTCTCACTTGGCTTTTATGCTCATGGCTGGCACTGTACTTATGGCATTTTTGGGGGGTCAGTTGTGGGGCTTGAACTGAAGGCCTGGGTGCTATTTTTGAGTTTTTTCTGCTCAAGACTAGTATGCTACCACTTTGAGCCACGACTCTACTTCTGGTTTTCTGGGGGTTAATTGGAGATAAAGAGTTTCATGGACTTTAACTACCCAGGCTGGCTTTGCATTGTGATCCTCAGATCTCAGCCACCAGAGTAACTAGGATTATGGGCTTGAGCCACCACGCCTGGCCACTTCTGGCTTTTTTTTTTTTCCTATTTGGAAATAAGAGTCGTGTGAATTTGTCTACCCTGGGTGGCGCTGAACTGTGATTCTCAGATCTCAAGATTTCTGAGTAGCCAGGATTATAGTGCCCTGCACCAGGTCTCTTTATTGGCATCTGTTGGGGGAGAGGGAGAGTGGCCAGACTTGACGTGTGGAATGCACGGGGTCTAAAAACCTGATTTCACTTTGCCAAGGCTAATTTCAGACTATGATCCTTCTATTCCTGCATGGATGACAGGTCTGTGCAGCATGCCTAACTATTGATGGAGGTGAGGGTCTCACTAATTTTTTTGCCTTTGGAATAGCTAGGATTATACATGTGAACCACCTTGACTGGCCTTTTAAATTGTAACCCTGGCTTCTAGATTTCAGGATATAAATCATTCTCATTTCTTACTGGCAGACAGATGACTTGAGTTCCCTCAGCTCCTCTAGTTTCTATGTAAAATCACAGGAACTTGAGATCTATAGAGAAAAGCATTTGAAGGTGTCTCACAACCAGGAGCTTTCCAGGGGAAGTTTTTAGAAAGGATTTGTTTTAGTTCAATGAGATAAAGTAGGGCAAAACTGCAAGGGAGAAACATTTCCTGCTCCCATACAGGAAATGAAGGTAAAACTTTAAGATTTTTTTTTTTTTTCAGGGCCTAGGACTCTTGCTTGCCTTTTTAAAATTCAGTCATGGGGCTTGAACTCAGGCCTGGATCCTATCTCTGAGCTTTTCTACTCAAGGCTTGTGCTCTACCACTTTGAACCACAGCTCTACTTCTAGTTTTCTGGTGGTTACCTGGGCTGCCTGGGCCAGAGTAGGTAAGATTACAGCCTGACAAATCAGTGTCTAGCTTTGCTGGCCTTTTTGCTTAAGGGTAGTACCTTACTGCTTGAACCACAGCTCAATTTTCAGTATTTTGGTGACTAATTGGAGATAAGTCTCCAGGACTTTCCTCGACTGGCTGGCTATGAATTGAGATCTCTTGGGCAGCTAGGATTTTTCCTGAAGCCCCTAATTAAGAGATAATGGTTCTGGGAGGCAAAGATAGGTATTAAGACATGGGGACACTTGTCATTTAGGCCTACCCAAAACACAAGGACTATGGTGAGTTTCAGGACTTCTATTTGCCACACGGGCCCTTTGTTTTTCTACTCATTAAGGAGCTCTGTGGCTCTTCAAGGCCTCCATGAAGGGATGGGACAGTACCTTTCTCTCTCTCCCTAACCAGTAACTTAACATCTAAAAGGAACTGGTTGGAGGGAAACTTGCTGTAGCAGCTTTTCAGTTTACTTCCTGGTTCTGTTTCCTGAGGCTGGCCCTTTAAACATTTATTACTTCAAACTTCCTGTGTGTCATCTCTCTTGTAATGCCTGAGACTAATGTTTGAGACAGGGTCTCATTGTATAGCATTAGGCTGACCTTAAACTCTAGATCTTCCTGTGTTTGCTTCCAGAGTGCTGGGATTGCAGGTGTAGGCCACTGGGCTAATACTGTCCCTTTGTAAGAAATGTTAAGGTTCATTCTTGGCGAGTCAGTCTATTTTCTTAGCTATTTGCCTCATGATACTAGAAGTCTTTGTTTCTGAGATCACCTGGGATTCTGGCTACAGCTTAAAACAGTAGCCTTAACTTACTTTTTGTGGTATTTACTTTTTGAGGAGAGTACTCAGGGCCTCATGAATGTTAAGCAAGTGTTGTCCTATCACTGAGCTATGCCTCTATTTTTAATTTTTTTGTATGTAGGCTGGCCTGGAGATTGAACTCAGGGCCTGGGTGCTGTCCCTGAGCTTTTTTTGTTCAAGCCTAATACTCTACCATTTAAGCCATACCTCTACTTCCAGCTTTTGGTTGGTTAATAGGAAATAAGAGGCTCAGATTTTCTTGTTCTGGCCAGCTTTGACACTTGATCCTAAGATCTCAGCCTCCTGAGTAGCTAGGATTGTAGGTGTGAGCCACCGATGCCCAGTTTCCTTTTGTTTAAAATTTTGGGTCAGGGTCTTGTTCTGTAGTTCAGGCTAGCCCCAGACTTTCTGCCTCAGCCTTATTTTTGATTTTGGAACTAGGCAACTCTTCAGCCAGGTGCTGGTGGTTCACACCTGTAATCCTAGCTACTCAGGAGGCTGAGATCTAAGGATCACGGTTCAAAGCCAGCCAGGGCAGGAAAGTCTGTGAAATTCTTATCTCCAATAAACCACTCAGAAAACTGGAAGTGGCGCTGTGGCTCAAGTGGTAGAGTGCTCACCTTGAGCTGAAGAGCTGAGGCACAGTGCCCTGGCCCCTAGTTTAAGCCCCATGACCAACCAAAAAAAAAAAAAAAAGAAATAGAACTAGGCAACTCTTCATTCCATAAAATTAACATTCCAGTGAACCAAGCAGAGGAAATTGGTTTTATTGACAGAGAAGGACTGAGGAAAGCAGGAACAAAAAATAAAAATTGGACCGGTCATTTCACAGATGCTATTCTTGTAAGACGGGAGCCAATAGAACAATAACAAAAGAACTGTTACTTGGGTGGTGGGGTCAGAAGGACAGAGGTTCAAGGCCAGCCACAGCAAAAAGTTTGAGACCCCATCTCACCAATAGTTGTGTGGTGTGGTACATGCTGTTATCCTAGCTATTTTGTATAACTAGGAAGATCTCAGTCTGGGCTTGCCTGGGCAAAAAGTAGGTTCTCTATAAAAAATATCAAAAGCAAAAAAGGGCTTGGGGTTGTAGTTATGTGGAGAGGTACCTGCCTAGCAAACAGGATGCGCTCAGTTCAAAACCCCAGTATTGCCAGAAAAAGGAAAGAACTGACTGCTAGCCCACTGCCTCTTTTGTGTAGGGGGAGAGGCAGAAGGAGCTTCATTGTCATGGCTGCTGAAACTGGCTTTTGGGAGTGGGAGACTGGGCTGTTATCTTGCTTTATGCAGTGCTGAGGAATCGACCCCAGAGCTTCATGCATGTGGGGCAATCACTCTACCACTGAGCCACCTTCCCAGCCGTGTTATCTCTTTTGACTACTTGGAAGATCAGATAGCTCAAGTTTCAGTTTGGTGACTTGGGGGAACTCCAGTTTGGCTCTTAGCCTAGTCTGTTGGGGTCTGGTACAAACTAACAGCCTGTTATGATTAATCATGTCAGACACTTAAGCAGACCCAATGCAAGAAGGTAAACTTTACACATGCGGTTTCTTAATCTACACTGGAGTCCCACATGCCTAGGTGGGTAAAAATGAGAGCTGCTATAACATTACCTTTGAAGGGAGTTTTATATCTGCCACTCATTTGTAGTATCAAAGCTATCCAAGGAGGTGGGGGCTTGGGGAGTCTGGAAAGGCTTCTACCTTTTGCCTCCCACCTGGCATCTGAGCATGGGAGCACACAGCATGGGGGAGCCAGTGTTGCAGTGCTGAGTTCCTTGAGTCACCTGTGGAAGCGAGCAGGTCATGGCCGGCCTGGTCACTGCACACCTTCCCAACACAGGAGACACCAGGACTTGGATTTACACATACGAATCCTGACCCTGCAGAAAGTGGATGCCACTGCACTTCTAGCTGACGTGCTGAGTGTTCTGACTCCACATAGGAGCTCTCCCACAGAACCCCACCTTACACATGGGAGAATGGAGTGGCAAGGGAGCAGGACCCTGTCTCTCTGTGTCTCCTAAGCCCTCCCTTCTCCCAAGACAAGGACCCCAGGCACGACTCAGGGTCCCCGTACTCAGAAAGGCACAGGCGCACTCTTCTGTTAATAAAGTATAGTAACATTTATTTCTTAACATTTTTGTCACACTGGCTGCATTCATGGAAAATCAAATCCTCTGGAGGAATTCAAGTTAGATGCAAATTACATTCAGCTTTGAGCTGGTCACCTGCCGTGGGCAGGAGCTAAGCAGCAGCTTTCTTCTCCTTATAGATGGCCATCATTTTCTTGATTTCTGCAATTGCTTTCCCTGGATTCAGCCCCTACAGAGGAAAGAGGAGTGTCAGTGGGAAGGGTACAGTATAGAGGGCAATGGTGAAGTCGTTGGCTGAGGCGAATGAATCCGTATTCAAGTATTCTGAATCAAGTCCTTCCAGCAGTGCGCCAGGGCTAGAGCTCCTTGTCTACCTGGGCATATTAAAAAATGGCAGCTCTGGCAGAAGCCCCACTATACACAATTCCTTCCAGGTGGCTCACCCTCGTAGACAAACAGGGCAGGGCAGAGTGTATTCTGACTGCCCACACAGCCTGGTAATGCTTCCCTTAGGAACCCAGGCCAGTGTCAACACCGGCCCAGGCGGGCATATCGAAGCTCTCCACAGCAGGTGGAAGAGACCTGGTGGCCCTTTGTAAATACCACACCGAGTCCCAGAGGCCAGTCTGAGGGCTGTGGCTGCAGTCTGTCCTGAAGCATGACATGCTTGCGGGGGGCTTGATAATGACCCAGAGATCTCCAGCCTTGGGGAAGTCAGTGGCAAAATTAGACAGGGCCCTATCTGAGGGAGCAAAGGGGCCCTCATCCTAGGAGGGCAACTCTACTGACATGAAGTGCTATGCACAAGAAAAGGAAGAAGGAAAGATCTCGAGAGGAGGTGAGAGGATGCAATTGCAGCGATGTGACACGGGAGGCAGGCTGGCCAGGCAGAGCTGCATGGAGAGTGGGCACAGGCACCCTGGATCCCAGTGTGCTTCTCTGGGAAGTATCAGATGAGGAGCTGGGAACACAGAGGATTCCAGGAAGAAATAAGGAATCTGATAAGCAGCTCGGCTCTATCGTTCACTCACTAGCTCCCCAGCTCTCCATCTGTGTGACTTGAAACGGCTCTGCTCAGGGCCTCCACCCAAAAGGCAGCTGTGTTTGGAAGTACATGGCTCTTCCTCCCCAAGGGCCAGGACTGACCAGGGTTGGCACCTGATAGAAGCAGCCAGTCCATGACCAGCCACCCCACTGTAATGGGCTATGGGCAGTTTCCTCAGGGTAGGGACGAGGGAGGTCCTGTATAAGGTGGGGATGGGGATATGGAGGGCGTGAGCTATAGGATGAAGGGGTGGGGTAAAGACCACGGTGGCTGGAGCTCCACAGAGATAGGCTATGGGAAGGGGACTGGGTTAGAGCTTACCGCAAGATGGAGCAGGAAGGGACTTAGCCCCCGCTGCCCACGAACACAGACGTGTTCCTCTGAGAGGGGCTGGTGGAGCCCCCAGAGGTACACTGGTCCAGTCCCCTTTCATTTCAAATCACCAACTGGGTTGGGGGAGCGAGGCTACTCCTGGCAGAGGGCCACCGGCCCCAGTACCTTGGGACAGGTCAGTGTGCAGTTCATGATGGTGTGGCACCGGTACAGAGAGAAGGGGTCCTGCAGCTTGGCCAGACGCTCCTCGGTGAAGTCGTCTCTGGAGTCGATCATCCAGCGGTAGGCCTGGAAGGAAGGGCTGGGTCAGCCAGGCTGTTCCGAGCAGAGCCAGGCTGAAGCAGCACTGGGGCTCATGAAGGGCTCTGTGAGTGCAGAGTGGGGCGATCCTCTCGCTAACCTGAGTTCCTGCTGGCCTTTCAAGAACGGGTCCCCATTCTTTTATGACTGCTTGATGCAATCCCTACAAGGCTTGGGCCCACACTGTGCTTGTGCCTCAGCACTTAATTACTACTGTTGGGGCGTCATCTAGTCCTTTCATCCTGCCCAGCTTGTAAGGAGTGGCAGGGCTGGGCTATGTGCTCCTCTGTCTCAAGCCCCTGCCGTGCTGGACTCACTGCTGCCCAGCAAACTAATGCTATTGCTGGCCCTGGTCCCACTCATTGATCTTTTTTTTTGTTGTTGTTGCAGTGCTGGGGTTGAAACTCAGTGCCTTTACTTGCTAGGCAGGGGATCTACCCCTTGGGCCACATCTCCAGCCCCTGACCTTTCAACTCCCAGGGGCCAGCACGCTAAGCACGGCCCGGCTACACAGTTCACAGTTCCCCACACTGTAGAGTACAGTGACCATGAGTACACCTGACTCTCTGTCCAGCTTCCCACACTGCGGTCACATAGCTATGTGACTTCCTTTCTGTGGGGAAATGAGAAATATGAAGTTGTCTTTTGAGATGCTAAAAAAAAAAAACTGACCACAAATCTGAAAAGAAGGAGCTTTCTGGGAATAAAGTCATTTTCTATGCAGTGATTTGTACATAGGATGATGGTGACAGGCCTATTTTCTCTTTAGGCAACCTGTAGACCCTGACTCTCCTGTCTTTGAGCTGAGCAGCTGCTCCTCGTTCACGAGCCTTCCGAGTAGGAGATGGGAGCTTGCTGACCCGATGCAGGTAAGTGAATGGGTACAGGGAGGAGCCCAGGAACACAGTGCATGTCTAGGCAGGGTTTCCTAAAAAGCATGCCTGTCCATGGGGTAAGCCTCAGCGCACAGCTACAAAGACGCATTGAGATGAAGCTCCAGATGTACCGAGAGCTGAGTGAACCAATGCAGCCAGCCATCGTGCCTGCAGCCAATGTGGGTGAAGGACCCCAGATGGCTGGCCTGTGGTCCCCAGCCCTCTGGGACACCCAGCTACTGGACTCACAATTTCTTGTGAAGTAGTCAGGGGTGCCTCACCTGCATAAGGACTGCAGGCCCCAAGTACTTGTCCCCATTCCACCAGTAGCTGGGGCAGCTGGTGCTACAGCAGGCACAGAGGATGCACTCATACAGCCCGTCCTGTGGGGAGAGAAGGGGTCAGAGCCTGGGCTGGTGAGCAACAAAGGGCCTGCCTGCCTGCCTATGAGTATTCCTGGCAGAGTCCTAGGGAAGGTTTGCAGATGTGTAATTAAATCTAAGACCTTGCTGGATTGGAGCTCAGCAGTCCTACAGTCCCTGGAAAATGTGTTCATCCTTAACAAACAATACACCTTGCTTACCTAGACAAGGAAATCAACAGGACATGAAACAGCATACTGCAAAGGCCTGAGATGGCCATCCACCCCAGTGTGGGCAGAGGCCACCAGCTTCCGGGGGGAATGCCACTCCTGCTTCCCTCACTGGGCCTTTCTTGCTGGCACAGCACTTCCCAGGAAGTGAGCACTCCCCAGCAAGCTCCTGCCCACAGGTAAGGAACCAGGTTCAAGCCCCTGCCCAGGGTGAGCACGGAGCTGGTATGTGACTCCAGGTGAGGAACCCAGGTTCAAGCCCTTGCCCAGGGTGAGCACAGGGCTTGGATGTGACCCGTGGCCTCCCGCTTCTCTTATACCTGCTGCACAGGCTCCATCTGTCCAGCCAGTCCTGTAGCAAGCAGGGCTTTCTGACTTTGCAACAACAGAAATGGATGAAAAACAACAAAACAGAAGGGCACACAGGTGTCTAAGGGGACAGAGGGTAAGAGATAAGATCCCTAAGGCTGAGACCCAGGCCTACACTCCACGCAGATGGCCGGTGGGAGGGCCAGGCTTCCGACAGCTGGCAACCTCCCACCAATTTGGAACATGTGGGGTCAAAGGACCAGAGCCACACAAGGAGCACTTCCTTCTGCCCATTTATACAAAAGTCTGCAAAAGGAAATCAAAATTCTGGGGCAGAATCCTAAGGATAAAGATGTTCATCTAGCTTTACTGATAATGAAGAATTGGAAACAATTTCACTGTTCAGGAACAGTGCAATGTTTAATAATGCCTGTGCATATTACTGAAGCTCAAGGCAGACCTGGTAGCTCGGCATAGCACATACCCAGAATGTGGGAGGCCTGGGTTTCAGTAGCACATACCCAGAATGTGGGAGGCCTGGGTTTCAGCCAGAAATAAAAACTGAAAACAAAACAAAACACAACTAAAAAAGAAAAACACTAATATGAATGTTTCTTTCTTTTTTTTTTTGTCGGTTGTGGAGCTTGAACTCTGGGCCTGGGTGCTGTCCCTCAGCAATTCAGCTCAAGGCCAGTGCGCTACCACTTGAGCCACAGTGCCACTTCCGGTTTTTCTGTGGTTTATCGGAGATAAGAGTTTCACAGCTTTTTCTGCCCAGGCTGGCTTTGAACCATGATCCTCAGATCTCAGCTTCCTAAGTAGCTAGGATGACAGATGTGAGCCACTGGCGCCCAACATGAATGTTACTTTGGAGGTGGAATTATCGATAGGAATCAGTTCTCTGAGGGCTGAGGGTGTAGCTTAGTGGTAGAGCACTGCCTACTATGACCAAGGCCTGGTTTTCATGTCCACCACCACAAAAAACAAAACAAAAAAAACCTTCCTGTGTTTTTCAATTATTTGTTAAGCATAGCATATTAATTTAAGGAATCAAGAAATGCTACACAAATGCTGGTGTCTGTGTGGTGCTGGGCTGGGACTTGGTACGAGCATGCTAAGCAGGTGCTCTACCACTGAACTCTATTCCCAGTCCATGTTTATCAAAGAAGTAAACTTCTACTGTTTAGGAAACATGTTTGGCAGTTGATTTTTCTAACTGTACCACCTTAAGGGGTGAAGAATGTGAGTTGACTAGGTAAGCTAGGAGTGGTTCCAAGATGGCCCCAGACTGACAGGGCTTTCTGGGAACTAGAAACTGCAGCAGGAGGAGCTGCATGTGCACTGTGTGACACAGAATAGCAAGGTGATCACTGGACCCCAACCGTCTCCATGACGACAGACCAGGCCCTCTAGCACTCTCCAAAACAGTTTATATTTATAAAGAGGCTGAATATTCCTCCAGTCCTAGAAGGCACAATTCATTAATCCACTCATACAACTCACATCAGGATGAAAGTTTAGAGGTCCTAAAGAGTGTCTGCCCTTTAGGACCTTGGAGTTTGGTCTGCTCTGCAGCATGGGAACAGTTCCCCGAGGCCAGCTTAGAGTGTGTGGCTAACAGGAGGCAGTACCAGCCTTGGCACCCACAACCACACAGCTGGGGCTCCACCTGCAATGTGCAGGGAGAAGCCAATCAGAGAAGACTTCTCAGAGGAGGTAAAGTAGCATAGGAGAAGTCTCTACTTGACATATGGAATCAGACCGGGCCAGTCGCACCGGTCACTAAGTGTGGCATTAGGAAGAACAGGGCTCTGGGCTAGTTCTGCCTGTCTCAAAGTTTGTGTTACAATACACTAAGTGGTCTGCATGCATACTGCCCCCACCTTCCCAGCAACCTCCCCTCACGCCAGTGCTAAGGACGATTGCTGACCAGCTTCTCCCGGTCTTCTATGGACTGCAGATACTGCTGGCCTTCCTGGGATGTGTCCTTCTTCTTCAAATAGGGATCGATGGACTTGTACTGTGCGTAGAAGTTGTTCATATCCTATGTGAGGAGGAGGAGGAGGAGGAGGAGGAGGAGGAGGAGGAGGAGGAGGAGGAGGAGGAGGAGGAGGAGGAGGAAGGTCAGCTTTGCCAGCTTCCGCTCACCCTGTTTTGTGGTCCCTGCCTACTCTACTGCCCACGAACACACACATGCCACACTCAGGAGCCCTTGCTTCCGGGCAGGGACATATGGAAAACTAGAAGTGTGGAGGAGTCCAGGCCAAGTTGAGGCCGGTTAGAAAACCTCTCCCTCACCCAGCCGGTGCAGTCCAACCCTGCATCCTTTCTCCCGCCTGCCTCAAGAACAGGTCAGGTAGGCAGCTGGAGGAAGGGGATGGGAACAAAGCCCAGTCAGCACCGCTCTACAGTTCCATTTTCTACTTCACCCTTCACTTCTGGGGTTGTTCTAAGTCAGAAGTGCCACGCCCCATGACTCTTGACCAAACCTCACTGAATACACTGGGAGGATTTTTCTAGGCATTCATCTCCTGCCATTCAGAGTTTCCTAATGCTCTTAATGTTGCTCTGTAGCCACACGGAGGGAGATAACCCCATTGAGCTGTTTTACCATCTGCCTCCAAGAGTAGCTGTAAACACCCTGAACCAGCTTGAAGAACTGACTGGACATGCATAAGCATGTATGTGCACACACAGGCACGTACATACACACACAGCCCCTTCAACACCTGGAAGAGATGTGGAAACTCACAGGCACGAGATCTTTTATCACATACATATGTGGAAGAGGGTAGATTTTGGACACTTTGTTGATGTTGGAGTCGATCCTCCGGGTACATGCTAGAGTGTTGTTTCCGTTGATGTTCATTGCACAAGAGCCACAGATTCCTGCGAGAGAAGCACCAGTGCCTTGTCCTCACCCATGCCAGGTCCGGTCCCCCTGCCAGCCTTCCTTCTAGGCCACTGCAGTTCTAACACAGCAGCAGGTATGACATGGAACATGCCTGCTGCCTTTTCCTCCTTCCTGCCTAGAATGCAGATCTAAGAGCTGGAGCTCCAAAAGCTGTTTTATGCCTATGAGGAACCCTGAGCTTAGAGGCTGCAGATTGAGTTGTATGTCAGACTGTGGATTTCCTATACTAGTGCTACCTCCATGATACAGCCATGGGTTTCAAGAGAATAGTCAGCCCTCCTTTTTTGTTTTTTATTGGTACTAGGATTTAAACTCAGGGTCTTGAGTTTGCTAGGTAGTACTTGAGCCACATTCCCAGATCTGATTTTTTTTGTCGGTCGTGGGGCTTGAACTCTGGGCCTGAGCGCTGTCCCTCAGCTCTTCAGCTCAAGGCGAGCGCTCTACCACTTGAGCTACAGCGCCACTTCCAGTTTTCTGGTGGTTTATTGGAGATAGGAGTCTCACGGTCTCTCCTGCCCGGGCTGGCTTTGAACTGTGATCCTCAGATATCAGCCTCCTGAGTAGCTAGGATTACAGGCGTGAGCCACCAGCGCCCGGCCTGATTTTTTTTTTTAAGGCTAGCGCTCTACCACTTAAGCCACAGCGCCACTTCCGGCTTTTTTCTTTTTGCTTATGTGGTGCTGAGGAATCGAACCCAGGGCCTCAGGCATGCAAGGCAAGCGCTCTACCACTGAGCCACCTTCCCAGCCCCCTGAACTCAAATTCTAGTAGATACAGTTCCCAGTGAACACATCTTGGTTGTGTCCAGATGGAGGTCAGCTCAGTCTACCAGGAGGGCTCTTACTCTATCTATTGTGTCCATACAGAGCAGTACCGTGGATGCCTCAGGCTCTGAACGACTCCTCCCTCCCAATATAATGACTGAACACTGCTGGGTGCCGGTGGCTCACGCCTGTAATCCTAGCTACTCAGGAGGCTAAGATCTGAGGATCACGGTTCAGAGCCAGCCCGGGCAAGGAAAGTCCGTGAGACTCTTATCTCCAATAAACCACTAGAAAACTGGAAGTGGCACTGTGGCTCAAGCAGTAGAGTGCTTGCCTTGAGCTGAAGATCAGCTGAGGGATAGTGCCCAAGCCCAGAGTTCAAGCCCCACGACCAACCAAAAAAAAAAAAAGACTCAACACTGACTTTCCAAGGAGAAGTATGAATTCCGGTTTTCTCTTAGCTAAGCAAATAAAAACCAGGCACCCACCCAGGACCTCAGCCAGGACTGACTTCTTGTGACATCTCTCCTGGCTTCTCTTTTGCAAAGCTACATACTAGGAAGATAGCTCTGGGACCTGTAGAAGCAAGCTCCCTCCAGTTTTTGTTTTGTCCCAGGTTTTCCAAGCCTGGTGAGCTCGTGTGTGTGGCCTTGGAGTCTGCCGCTTTGGTTGACTCCTGGTATTCTTGCAGAAGCCCCCTAATTACTTCTGCGTTTAAGTTTTCTTATCTGTTTACTAAGGGCCAGTCCTACCAGCACCTTCCAGCTTCCCAGAAATGCACAGTCTTCATAGAACCATGTGCAATTTTTGCCACTTGTGGAACTTTTTAAGTCACCTTGAGTTTTAATACACACAGACACACAGACACACACACACACACACACACACACACACACAGACACACACAGACACACACAGACACAGACACACACAGACACACACAGACACACACACCCCCACCCCCCCAGTCCTGGGGCTTGAACTGAGGGCCTGGGCACTGTCCCTGAGCTTCTTTCACTCAAGGCTAGTGCTATACCATTTGAGCCTCAGAGCTTCTGGCTTTTTCTGTGTATCTGATACTAAGGAATTGAACCCAGGGCTTCATGCATGCTAGGCAAGTACTCTACCACTAAGCCAAATTCCCAGCCCTTCAATTCATATTAGAAAATCATTTGTGGTCAGGTGCCAGTGGTTCACACCTGTAATCCTAGCTATTCAGGAGGCTGAGATCCAAGGATCATAGCTTGAAGCCAGTCCAGGCAGGAAAGTCCATGAGACTTTTTTTTTTTTTGGGGGGCGGGGGGGGTTGGTTGTGGGGCTTGAACTCAGGACCTAGGCACTGTCCCTGAGCCTTTTTGTGCTCAAGGCTAGCGCTCTACCACTTGAGCCACTTCTAATTTTTGAGTTGTTAATTGGAGATAAGTCTCACGGGGACTTTTCTGCCTAGGTTGTTTTTGAACCACCTCCCCAGATCTCAGTCTCCTGAGTAGCTAGTATTACAGGCATGAGCCACTGGCACCTAGCCTCATGAAACTGTTTTTTTCTAATTAATTACAGGAAAAATAAAAAAGCTGGAAATGGAGCTGTGGCTCAAGTGGTAGAGTGCTAGCCTTGAAAGCTCAAGGACAACATCCAGGCCTTATGTTCTAGCACAAAGACTGGGGGAAAAAAAAAAAGCATCCCTGTACACATAATTATTTTCCTTCTTTTCTTGTTTTGGTAGTGGGGCTTGAACTCTGGGCCTGGGAACTGTCTCTGAGCTCTTCAGCTCAAGGCGAGTACTCTACCACTTGAGTCACAGCGCCACTTCCTAGTAATTATTTTCTAATGTGTACTGTAAGAACATGGCTACTGAGGCAGGAGTTTCACTCTCTCCACAGTGATCACACAGTGAGGGCACTGGTTCAACATCTTCCACGCTGAACTGTGCACAGCATGCTGGGAGCCCAGGGTATACACACGCTGCCCCACACCAGAGGCAGTGTGCAGGTCTCAGGAACTGGCTGCTCCCTCTGCAATGAGCTCAGCTCTGCACGAGGCAAGCCAGCATATCTTCACCAGCCCCCAAGGCACAGCAGCTGACAGGGACGACAAGATGCAGTCACCATGTCACAGAATGCTCCAGACAGGAACTAAGAATTTGCATTGCAGTCTCAATTTTGGGCATTTTTACCCAGAAAAAGGAAGGGTCAAGCAGGGCACCAGCAGCTCACGCCTGTAATCCTAGTTACACAGGAGAATGAGATCTGAGGATCCTGCTTCAAAGCCAGCCTGGGCAGGAAAGCCTGTGAGACTCTTATCTCCAATAAACACCACCAAGCTGCAAGTGGGGCTGTGGTGCAAGTGGCAGAGCACCAGTCTTGAGTATAAAAGCTCAGGGACAGCACGCAGGCCCAGAGTTCAAGGCCCAGGACTGACACACCACAAAAAAGGCTCAGGAGCAGCCAGGCCCCTGGCAGAGCTGCAGCTACTCTCTCTCTCTCTCCGTTATCTCTGTTACATGGAGTCTGAGCCTCTCTGGAGGGATGCAGCCTGCCTGGAATAGAACACTTACCTTCTCTGCATGATCTTCGGAAGGTCAAGGTGGAATCGATTTCATTCTTAATCTTGATTAAAGCATCCAATACCATGGGACCACACCTGACAAAGAAACAGTTATGCAAGTTCAGCCTCCTTGCTATTCGACAGCATGCCTGTGGATATAGGATTGAGTTGGCTGCCTCAGATTGTAAGCAGAACTTTCTTTGTTTTGGTGGTACTGGGTCCTAGGCACACCAGTCTGGGGCTGGTCTTGAACTTTTGTTGAGTAACTGAGCTTCCCATGCCTCCCATGTTTCTTATAGATTGGAACTACAGCACAGTGTTTTCTTTTTTTTTTCTCCCCCTCTCCCCCCCATACCCTCCACCATCACCCCCCCAGCACAGTGTTTTCTTTTTTTTCAGTTGTGGGGCTTGAACTCGGGCCTGGGCACTGTCCCTCAGTTCTTCAGCTCAAGGCAAGCGCTCTACCACTTGAGCCACAGCACCAGCTTGGGTTTTCTGTTAGTTTATTGGAGATAAGAGTCTCATGAACCTTCCTGCCCCAGCTGGCTCTGAACTATGATCCTCAGATCTCAGCCTCCTGAGTAGCTAGGATTCAGGTGTGAGCCACCAGTGCCTGGCTCTACAGTTTTTTCTTGATGACACTGCATATATATATCTCCAGGAAACAGAAAGTAGTAGATATATGCAAATTAGGAGACAAAGTCCATAACTGAAAGTTTCTGTTTTTATTCTTCTAAAGCTGTTTACAAAGCTTTCTCTAATTTATCTCAAAGTTTGCTTTTATTTTCAGCCTCTGGACAGTAATCAAAACAGAGAATAAGAAAATGAATCCAAACCACTGTGAGCTTCTAGTTTGGGAAGGTAGCTTGAACCAACTAAGAGGAATTATACTTAATAAGGGATTATTTCACTTCATCAGTTCTTCAAGATTTTACCATCAAATTACTAATGATGATCTCTCAATATCCACAGGATCTGTACTGATAATTCTTGTGTCTTGATAGTTGCAATTTTATTTTCTCTAAATTATTCTGTGGTTCTAGGGATCAAACTCAGGGCCTCATGTATGACAGGCATGTTTTACTATTGAGCTATAACATCTAAGAGTTGTCAATTTCACTGACGCTCCTGCCTGAGCCTCCTGTGTGGGCTGGCCACCATCCTTTATTACGTTATACTTTTGATACTATTCTTAAATCACTAAGGATGCTTTTCTCTTCCAAAAACCCATCCTACCATCTGTCTTTTAGAGGCAATTTGTTAAATTATTTCTAACTTGTAGTTAAGGCCAGGTAGGGAAATTTCCAATTCAGAGATTCTATTTTTTGGTTCTAGATTTTTTTTTTCCTTTTGTGCTGTACTGGGAATGACCTTAGGGTCTGGTGCTTGCTAGATAGACACTTTACCATTTAAGCCATGCCCCCAATACTTTTCCTTGTTTTTCAGATAAGGTCTAGTGGTAACTTTGTCTGGGCTGGCCCTGAACTTCTACCCTACTATCTCTGCCTTTTGAGTAGCTATGATTATAGGCATGCACCATCACATCTGGCTCGTTCTTGATAACTTTTGCCCAGGCTACTCTTGAACAAAGATCCCTGTATGCCTACCTCCCTGTTTGCTAGGAATACACGTATTTTCTACCATATACAGCCTCAACTTGTCCATTTTAATAGTTCTAATCCTATGCTGATATTTTCCATCTCATTATAAGCATATTTTCCTTAACCTTGAAGCACAATTATTTAATAACTGCTTTAAAATCCTTGTTTGCGGGCTGGGAAGTTAGCTCAGTAGTAGAGTGCTTGCCTTGCATGCATGAGGCCCTGGGTTCGATTCCTCAGCACTACATAAGCAAAAAGAAAAAAGCCAGAAGTGGTGCTGTGGCTCAAGTGGTAGAGTGCTAGCCTTGAGCTGAAGAGCTGAGGGACAGCACCCAGGCCCAGAGTTCAGGCCCCACGAACGGACCCCCCTCCCCCCAAAAAATTTCCTTGTTTGCTTATTCTAACAGCTGGGTCACTTCAAGGTTACTCTCTGCAGGCCACATAAAATACCACAGGCTGGATGGCTTAAGCTACAGAAATTTGTTTCTCCTGAATCTGGGACTGGGAAGTCTAAGTTCAGGCTCCCAGCATGGTCCTTTCTGGCAAGGGTTCTGTCCCTCTTTCCCAGTGTTCTTACAGTGTTCTGCAGTGTGTGCTCAGAGGCAGAGGGATCTTCTTGAGGTCAGTTCCTTAAGGCTCAAATCTCATCTGAAGGCCCCACCCGCACATCTCCCTCCCCTAATACCTCCCAAGGGACCATGTGGGGTTAGGCTTCAGCAGACTGTCTGGGACACAAGCAGTTCCTAAGTCTCTGCTCCCACAGTTTGCTTCTTTCCAGGATCTGTCCCTCATTTTCCAGTTATCATTGTAGCCCTAAACTGTAAGGCTCCTAAGGCTTCTTTTACCTAGGCTATTCCACTGAGGCAAAACAAGGCAGCCGGGCTGGGAAGGTGGCTTAGTGGTAGACTGTTTGCCTTGCATGCATAAAGCCCTGGGTTCCATTCCTCAGTACGACATACACAGAAAAAGCTGAAAGGAGCGCTGTGGCTCAAGTGGTAGAGCGTGCTAGGCTTGAGCAAAAGAAGCTCAAGGACAGTACCTAGGCCCAGAGTTCAAGCCCTAGGACTGTCAAAAACAAAACAAAACAAAACAAAACAAACCAGGCAGCGCACCAGTGCTGTCTCTTTCCAATGTCATTCTCAGCTAGGTCTGCTCACTGCAGGTCACTCTTTAGGGCCCAGAGGTACTTGTTGTTTCTTATCTACTGCCCAGGTCATCATTGCTATTTCAGTTTAGACGGAACTCTATCACATACGTAACTTGCACAGAGATACTTACTTATTCAAATCAACTTCAAATGTCTGCATGCGAGGTTTATCTCCAGTTTTGTCTGGATCCCACCGATAAATAGCAAATTTCTTGATACGAGGAGCTGTCGCTGCAGCTGTCTGGATCCCACGGCAGGCCTAACATTTAAAGAAGACAAAATAGGGGGAAAAAAAGATGAAGATATTTCTATTAGGCTACCGTGATAAAACTGTGAATGTGAGATCACACATTACTGATACAAGGCCTTCACGCAGAGGCAGTGGCTCACTACCAGCCAATATATGTACCTGTGATGAGGCAGAGGCTTCAAACCATGTCAGGGCTAGGGTTACAATAAGTACTTACGTGGACATGACCCGAATTTCCACAGAACAGACTGAACAAGATTAAGTCAAGTGCAATCCTGATGGGAAAGGTCAAGGAGGCTCTGGGTGAACATCCAGACTTAAGTCAGTATAAGATCAGAGGAGCTATCTGGATGAACCTTTCAGACTTTGGACAGTGGGAGGTCAGAGGATCCCAGGTGAACTTAGTAGCCTAGGCCTTTGTAAGGTTGGAGTAGGTCTTAGAGTGATGTTTGAGCCAATGGTTGAAGCTTGATTCACAGGGCTGGGAGATGCAGAGGCTGCAAGGGAAGCTGGAACACCTGGGACTACCTGAGCAGTGTACATGGGAGACAGGTAGCTAAGGAAGGATGGAGCAAATGAACGTGAACTTACAAATGGAGTTTTCATATTACCCTAAGAGCAATGACAAAAGAACCTTGCTCTTTGAGGGTACTGGGATTTGAATTCAGGACTTTGTATTTGCTAAGCAGATACTCTACCAGTGGAGCCATGGCTCCACTCCACCTTTGTTTGGTGGGGGGTGGTAGTGGTTTTACTAAGTAATGCAGGCTGGCCTTAAACACTTGATTCCCTTGTCTAGCTGAGTCCTGGGATTACGGGTATAAACCACTACTCCCAACTGGGAACACTTAAATGAAGGAAAATGACACAATCAATTTTGGATCAAAGATATAAATTAGTTATAAAGGGAGAATTGTCAGAGTAGATCTGACAATCCAGTTAGAAAACTATGATAGTTATTAAATCAACGTTTGCATTCTAAAACTAGATTTAAAAATACAATGTTATTTTGTGTGTGTGTGTACGTGTGTGCGCGCGCGTGCGCATGCACGTGGCGGGGGGAGGGGGGGGTCATGGTGCCTGAACTCTGGGCCTGGGCGCTGACCCTCAGCTCTTCAGCTCAAGGCTAGCGCTCTACCACTTGAGCCACAGAGCTACTTCCAGTTTTTGAGTGGTTAATTGGAGATGAGAGTCTCACAGACTTTCCTGTCAGGGCTGGCTTCAAACCACACTCTTTAGATCTCAGCCTCTTGGGTAGTTAGGATCACAGGCATGAGCCACCAGCCACCAGTCATGAGATTCTTAGTTCCAATAAAGCACCAGAAAACAGGAAGTGGCCACTGAGGCTTGAAATGGTAGAGCGATAGCTTTGAGGGAAAAAAGCTCAGGGACAGCACTCAGGCACTGAGTCTCAAGTCCCATGACTGACCAAAAAAAATCCCCCACAAACAAGCAAGGGTACTAAACCTGACAAGAATATTGTGAACCCAAAGTAAGTATGAGGAACTGACAGCTTCATTCTGCTCTCTGTGACATGCTTCTGTATCTCCCCATGACTGGCAGCATTTGCAGTGATTTCACCCTGTGAACCACAGAATCCTGGGTCACTTCTGGGGCTGCTGCTGGTGGGTCAGGTGAAGAGAGTTGTCCTTCCTCTTCCACTGTCTACCTCTGCCTCCTTCCTTCCACAGCAGCAGCTCCCATAGGGCTTTCAGGAAGGTTGAGTGACTACAAAAAATACAATGCTATTACTTGCTTGTAAAAGTGGCTCAAAGTAGGTGGTGCTGGAAATGTAGCTTTTAGTTCCCAGCACAAAAGAAGAAAACACATGAAGATGAGGTAAAGAGGAAAGCTTATCTTTGATCTAACCACTAAGCTGGCCAAAGCACCAGGAGCCCTATTTTGTGACACATCTGCTGTCACCCCCTTGTGGTACTTCAGAAGAAGTGAAAAGAGGAAGGCTCTGACTTTTTTGTTAGATTTAATACAGTATGACTAATTTCAATAAATGCACCAATTTTAAGCACATAATTTGTGAGTCCTGACAAAGCAGTCTTAGTCTACCCCATCACAGAACGTTTCCACCCAAAGGGTCTCTTAAGCTTCACCACCAGGCCCCTTCCCATGCCCAGCTACTGCCCTGCTGTCACCATACCTGCCTCTGTGTCTACCTCCTTTCACTCAGCATGATGATTCTGAGTCATACACGTTATCGTATATCTACAATTTTTTTTTTTGTCGGGGGCCTTGAACTCTGGGCCTGGGCGCTGTCCCTCAGCTCTTCAGCTCAAGGCTAGCGCTCTACCACTTGATCTACAGCACCACTTCCGGTTTTCAGGTGGTTTATTGGAGATAATAGTTTCATGGAGTTTCCTGCCCGGGCTGGCTTTGAACCACGATCCTCAGATCTCAGTCTCCTGAGTAGCTAGGATTACAGGCATGAGCCACCGGCGCCCGGCTTATACCTACAATTTTTTTTTTTTGGGGGTCCGGTCATGGGGCCTGAACTCTGGGCCTGGGCGCTGTCCCTCAGCTCTTCAGCTCAAGGCTAGCGCTCTACCACTTGAGCCACAGCGCCACTTCCGGCTTTTTTTCTTTTTGCTTATGTGGTGCTGAGGAATTGAACCCAGGGCCTCAGGCATGCAAGACAAGTGCTTTAACTACTGAGCCACCTTCTCAGCCCATACCTACAATTTTTTATTTTTTGCCAGTCCTGGGGCTTGAACTGATGGCCTGGGCACTGTCCCTGAGCTTCTTTTGCTCAAAGATAGCACTCTATCACTTGAGCCACATTGCCACGTCTGGCCTTTTCTGTTTATGTGGTACTGAGGAATTGAACCCATGCATGTTAGGCAGGCACACTACCACTAAGCCACATTCCCAGCCCTTACAATTTTTTTTTTTGGTCGGTCATGGGGCTTGAACTCTGGGCCTGGGCGCTGTCCCTCAGCTCTTCAGCTCAAGGCGAGCGCTCTACCACTTGAGTTACAGCGCCACTTCCGGTTTTCTGGTGGTTTACTGGAGATAGGAGTCTCACGGTCTCTCCTGCCAGGGCTGGCTTTGAACCGTGATCCTCAGATCTTAGCCTCCTGAGTAGCTAGGATTACAGGCGTGAGCCACCAGTGCCCGGCTGCTCTTACAATTTATTATTTATTTATTTTAGGTCTGGTCGTGGGGCCTGAACTCTGGGCCTGGGCGCTGTCCCTCAGCTCTTCAGCTCAAGGCTAGCGCTCTACCACTTGAGCCACAGCGCCACTTTCGGCTTTTATATTTTTGCTTATGTGGTGCTGAGGAATCGAACCCAGGGCCTCATGCATGCAAGGCAAGCGCTCTACCACTGAGCCACCTTCCCAGCCCTACAATTTATTTATTTATTTATTTATTTTTTTGTCGGTCATGGGGCTTGAACTCTGGGCCTGGGCGCTGTCCCTCAGCTCTTCAGCTCAAGGCGAGCGCTCTACCACTTGAGCTACAGCGCCACTTCCGGTTTTCTGGTGGTTTATTGGAGATAGGAGTCTCACAGTCTCTCCTGCCCGGGCTGGCTTTGAACCGCGATCCTCAGATCTCAGCCTCCTGAGTAGCTAGGATTACAGGCGTGAGCCACCAGCGCCCGGCTTACAATTTATTTTTTTAAGAACATCTTTTTTATTTTAGCCAGGCACCAGTGGCTCACATCTGTAATCCTAGCTATTCAAGAGGCTGAGATCTGAGGATTATGGTTCAAAGCTAGCTAGGGCAGGAAAGTCCATGAGACTCTTCAATTAAGCACAAAAAAAGCCAGAAGTGGAACTGTGGCTCAAGTGATAGAGCACTAGCTTTGAGGGAAAAAAAACAAAAGCAAACAAACACTTCACAAGGACAGCACTCAAGCCCAGAGTTCAAGGCCTTAGGACTGGCATAAAACAAATCCCAATTTTTTGTTGTTGTTGTTGGTTGTGGGGCCTGAACTCAGGGCTTGGGTGCTGTCCCTCAGCTCTTCAGCTCAAGGAGAGCGCTCTACCGCTTGAGCCATAGTGCCATTTCCGGTTTTCTAGTGGTTTATTGGAGATAAGAGTCTTACGGACTTTCCAGCCAGAGCTGGCTTTGAACCATGATCCTCAGATCTCAGCCTCCTGAGTAGCCAGGATAACAGGCATAAGCCACTGGCGCCTGGCAAATCCTAACTTTTATTTTAGAATAATTACAGGCACCTGGCAAATCCCAATTTTTATTTTAGAATAATTACAAATTTACATGCATTTGCAACAAATACCAATGATCTCACATGCTTTGTACCTAGTCTTCCCTGATGGGAACACCTTGCAAAACAGTGGCATACCACAGCGCTAGAATCCTCACATTGATGGTAAAGATGTAGAACACACACATCTCCATGATTCCTAGCCACACCTACTTTCTTCCCACACCCCTAATTATTCTTTTTTTTTTTTTTTTTTTTTTGCCGGTCGGGGGGCCTGAACTCTGGGCCTGGGCACTGTCCCTCAGCTCTTCAGCTCAAGTGCCCCTTCTAGCTTTTTCTGCTTATGTGGTGCTGAGGGATTGAACCCAGGACCTCATGCATGCAAGGCAAGCACTCTACCATTGAGCCACCTTCCCAGCCCATCCCCCACCATTATTCTTCAGTTTCCAGCAACCACTAATCTACTACCCATTGCTATTATTTTACCATTTCAAGAACATTTTTTTTTTTTGGGGGGGGGGTCCAGTTGTGGGTCCTGAACTCTGGGCCTGGGCGCTGTCCCTCAGCTCTTCAGCTCAAGACTAGCAGCACTCTACCACTTGAGCCACAGCACCACTTCGGCTTCTTTTTGCTTATGTGGTACTGAGGAATCGAACCCAGGGCCTCATGCATACAAGGCAAGCGCTCTACCACTGAGCCACCTTCTCAGCCCCTTCAAGAACATTATTGAGAAGGGCATGTGCCTATAATTCAACTAGAGAAGATATTGGGATCAAAACAACTAGGGAAACTGGACACTGGATCACCTCTGTAATCTTAGCTACCCAGGAGGCTAAGCTCTGGAGGACTATGGTTTGTTGTCAGCTTGTTCACTAGACTTCATCTCCAAGTAACAGCACAGTCTGGCTGGAGGTGTGGCTCAGTAGTAGAGTACCAGCCAAGCAAACAAGCTGGGCCAAGTGTCAAGTCCTGGATTCAAACTCCAGTACTGGATGAAAACAACAACAACAATATCCCCACAACTTAGAGATGAAACCAGAATCAAAACAATTAGTTTTGCTCATCTTGAAGCCTGTGCAAAGGTTAATCCACAGGCTTTTGGTATGTATGATCCATTAAAAACTATCCTAAGAAATCTGTAAGTCTGTCCTGTAGATTTCAATCAATGAACCCTTACCAAGAGGCAGACATCAAGCCAAATCACCTCCAATGTCTGTAATATCTTCATGAGAAATGTCACAAGGGGCTGGGAAGGTGGCTCAGTGGTAGAGCGCTTGCCTGGCATGCATGAAGCCCTGGGTTTGATTCCTCAGCACCACATAAGCAGGAAAAGCCAGAAGTGGTGCTCTGGCTCAGGTGGTAGAGCGCTAGCCTTGAGCTGAAGAGATGAGGGACAGCACCCAGGCCCAGAGTTCAGGCCCTACCACCACAGAAAAAAAATGTAACAGCTCCCATTACAGAATAAATCCATATTAACAGCACCAGGTTGCAAACACATCACTTGATTCCAATGCTCAACCTTTTAGCTACCTTTCAAGTGGTGAAAAGCAAACACACAATCCAACAGTAAAAAAGATGTTTTTCTTCCAACAGACTCAAGGAACAGCCATAATAATCAAGCTCTTACATGGCAGCGGGCTTGGGTATAGATTCATTTGATTGTCCAATACATAATTACAGTAGCCCTGGGGGAACAAGTGTAAAACAGGCACACGCTTCAACCAACCTCCTCAATTACATAGTAATTGGAGGAAGATGTGTAACCAGTGTCAGAAGCTAAAAAAACCAAACCAAAATAAAACTATATATGAGGAGGTGCCAGGTAAAAGAAATAAGCCTGGTAGTTCTGGCTTTGCCACTACAATTCTACATGAGGTCTCCAGGAGAGACTCCTCCTAAAAAGTGACAGCTGAGCAGAGTTAAGAGTCTCAGGGATTTGTCTGGCCAAGCTGGCTTGGAACCTTGAATTCTCAGATCTCAGCCTCCTGAGAAGCTAGGATTACAGGTGAGAGGCACCAGTGGCTGGCTGTGTGTGTGTAAATACTTGCGTGCTAGTACCGGTATTAAGGCTTGAACTCAGGGCCTGGGCACTCTCATTTGGCTTTTTTTTCCACTCAGGGCTCTACCACTTGAGCCACGCTTCCATTTCTGGCTTTTTGGTGGTCAATTGGAGATAGTGTCTCAGGGACTTTCCTTCCCAGGCTGGCTTTGAAGCCCGATCCTCAGATCTCAGCCTCCTGAGCAGCTAGGATCAATCACCGACGTACGTCTACGTGCTCGGCGTCGCTGGTCGGTGTGGCCCGGGAGGGCGGGCGCGCTCCGCCTCGTCAGCCTAGGGGTCAGCTGTGCCGAGGTCATTCGTGTCACCTCCGAGGGGTCGGAAGCACGCCGGCCCCTTCCAGGGTGACAGGGAGGGGTGTCCCCGAGTCTCCGCCCTGCGAGCCACGGGGCACAACGGAAGACCCGGGGTCCCGGGGTCCGGGCTCGAGTTCCAGGCCCTGGCTCGCCCGGTGACCTTGAACGGGCCAGGGCGGCTCGGCACCTCTCCGTTCCGTCTCCACACGGCCCGGCCCGGCCCGGCCCGCGCGGGGCGGCGGCGCGGGATAACGGCCGGCGATGCGGCGAGCCCGGCGGCCCGGCGGCCGGGTCCGCGGTCCTCCCCCGCCCCGACGCCGGGGCCGCAGCTCCCTCGGTCCCTCCGCGGCCCCCTCCGCTCCGGGAGGCCCCGGGGGCCCGCCAGCCTCCCGCTGTTCCGGGCCCGGGGCTCACCTGCAGGCAGGCTCCGCCGCGGGCGGAAACCGGGAACCAGCGCCTCAAGGAGACCGCGACCACCGCCGCCGCCATCTTGGCCCGTGACGTCAGCCCCACCCCTCAACCTTGAGGTCATTCTCCGCCGGCATCCCGTGGAGCACCGCGGCGGCCGCCCTGAGCCGGCGTCTCCACCCGGTTACCCCTCCGGGCCCGCTATCCGCTAGGAACCACCGAGTGGAAAGCGGCTTCCGGTTTCCTTGAGGGGGCGGGGATGGGAGAGAACGAGAAGGACCGTAGTGAGCATGCGCTGTTGCGTCCTGCACGGTGCGCGCCCAGTTAGCCTCTCCCGCACTGCGGGTGACCTTCGTTGAGAAGGGGGAGGAGTTAGGGGTGTGGCCAACAAGGAGGGCGGAGCCTTCCCCAGGGAAATTTCTGCCCAGATTTTAAGCCTTTTATTCTGAACATTTGTCAGTCTTACCTCCACACTCCGACTCGTCTGTGACTATTCGGGTTTTGTTCAGAGAGCCCTTCAGTCCTAGCAAATGGGGGCAAGTGGTGGATGAACTTAAGTGATCACATAGATTGCACTGGCAAAGGTGTCATTCATTCATTCATCCATTTCCCAGCGCTGGGCACTGCAGTGGAAAGCAAACCAGTGAGCAGCAACCCCGTTACCGTTACGGTGAGCAGCTGTGCCGTGCCTGGGTCTGCGCCGTCGGTGGCTGCCTTAGCCGGTGAGCTCCGCAGTGCACAGCCATCCCGCTTCTTGACAGGCCTGTGGGGGAGGCGTTTCTGTTTAGTTTTTGTTTTTAAATTAAGAATGAATTAGAAACAACAACAACAACAAACCACCTTACCCCTGTGGTTTATCCCCTGTTGTTTGTGTGTTTGATTTTGGTACCCTGGGTGTGTTTCTCTGAATTAGGGAAGGGGAGCAAAAAATGGTGAGACAAAGGACAAAAAGGGAACCAATGCAACAGTGACACTCACAAACACTAAGTTGGAAATAATGTATACAACTTGGGGACTGGGGGAGGGAAAGAGGGAGAAAAGTGAGGGAGGGGGTAACAGGTTGGATAAGAAATGTACTCACTATCTTGCTTATGTAATTGTACATCACCTTGACAATAAGATTGAAATAAAAAAGATATAAAAAAGCATATTACTTAGGATTATATCATACAATTCTCCATTTAGTTTTTTAAGATTTCATTTTAGTCACTGGAACTGCTATTTTTCCAGTGCCCTGCTGTGAGTCCTCTCAGAGCCTGCCTCAAGCAGGACATTTCATTACCTTGGGTGGGTGTGGCCTTGGTGTTTCAAACCACCTGGTCTCCTCTGATACCCCAGCAAATGAAGGTCCTCTCTGGCCCTTCCCAGGAGTGAGGTTTATTTTTCTTCCATATAGAGATTGAGCTCAAGGCCTCATGCTTGCACACTCAAACCTTTGAGCCCACACCTCTAGCTCCTTCTAACATTGGTTATTTGTTGTTGTTTTGACAATCCTGAAGCTTGAACTCAGGACCCTGGTGCTGTCCCTGAGCTTTTTTGCTCACAGTTGCTTTACCATTTGAGCCACAGCTCCATTTTCAATTTTGGTTATTTATTTATTTATTTTTGCCAGGCCTGGGGCTTTGCACTCAGGGCTTGAGCACTGTCCTTGAGCTTATTTGGCTCAAGGCTAGCACTCTACCACTTGAGCCACAGCGCCACTTCCAGATTTTTCTGTTTATATGGTACTCAGGAATTGAATACAGGGCTTCATGCATGCTAGAACAAGCACTCTACCACTAAGCCACATTCCCAGCTCCCATCTTTGGTTATTTTATTTTATTTTATTGTCAGTCAAGAGTCTCACAGACTTTCCTGCTGTGCTGGCTTTGTACTGTGATCCTCCGATCTCAGCCTCTTGAGTAGCTAGGATTATAGGCATGAGCCACGGGCGTCTGGAGTAACTTTTTTTTTTTGTCAGTGGTGGGGTTTGAACCCTGGGCCTGGGTGCTGTCCCTTAGCTCTTCAGCTCAAGGCTAGTGCTCTACCACTTGAGCCACAGTGCCACTTCTAGTTTTCTGGTGGTTAATTGGAGATAAGAGTCTCACGGTCTTTCCTGCCTGGGCTGGCTTTGAACCGTGATCCTCAGATCTCAGCCTCCTGAGTAGCTAAGATTACAGGTGTGAGCCACCGGTGCCCGGCTTACATTCTAGAATTTTAATGGCTACCTGAGAGGTCACTGGTGACAAGGTTGAGGTCATCTCAGCTTTTGTTCAGGGCTGGAAATCAAGACCAGAATTAACAATGAAGACCAATCCTGATGTGATAGCAGAAACCTGGAATCCTAGCTCTTCTATAGACTCTCAATTGGCTGACGTCACGGGAAGACATCCTTTTCTCCCTGAAGTCTTCCTGAGATGAAGGAAAAGTAGAAGAGTGTGCAAGGATCTATTTCTAGAGAACCGGTCCTGTTGGCATTGTCAAGGTTCTTTGAGGTGAAAGGCAGATGTCTCCCACCCCTAGATGAGCAGCTATGCTTTTGCTTTCCCAGGTCACCTTGGGAATAGCAGTCTGAGGCCAGCAGAAGTGCGAACTTGATTTATGGAATGGCTGTTGGAGCTGATGGGCCCACACGCCCCACAGCCACATCATTCCTGAGCTTCATGGGGATTTGGGGAGCTCAAAGCTATGGGGGAATAATAAACTCCTGAGTAGCTGTGCCTCCGTTCTGAGCTTTGGGGATTCCAGGAAGGCACAGCTGTGGTGGGACTTAGAGGTTTTTATGGGCTGCTCCTGACTTATCTTCTCAAGGTGTCCTTGCACTAAGACCCCAGGTTTTGCTTTGTTTGTTTCTGTCTAGAGAGTGACATATTGCTTTTCATCGAGACATTTGCTAGATGCTTTATGTTTGTGTCTAATCTCATTGCTTACGAATGTGTTTATGCAAGCAGTTTCTCTAGTCCTCTGACAGAGCTTGGGGCTGGAATAACTCCTCATTTTACAGACTCTTCTAGGTTTTGGGTAGTGGGTAGCTGAACAACCTTGGGTGGGAATTTTGCTTCAGGAGCAAAATTTTCCCTCACCACTGGAAATCAAGTACAGAATTAGAAATTAAAACCAAGCTTGATATGGGGACACAAGTTTGTGATCACAGCACTTGGGAGCCTGAGGCAGGAGGATCAAGTTCAAGGGCAGCCCTAGCTACATTTCAAGAACCTGTCTAAAAGAAAGGAAAGGGGCTGGGAACATGGCTTAATGGTAGAATGCTTGCCTAGTATGCATGAAGCCCTGGATTCAAGTCCTCAGTACCACATGAACAAAAAAGCCTATAGTGGCACTATGGCTCAAGTGGTAGAGTGCTAAACTTGAGCCAAAGAAACTCAGAGACAGTGGTCAGGCCCTGAGTCCATGCCCCAGGACTGATAAAATAAATAAATAAATGACAGGAAAGGAAGAAAGAAGGAAAAAAGGAAGAAGGAAAGAGAGAAAGGAAAAGAGGGGAAAAAACCAAAAAAGCATTGTATTTGTACAACTAACTATATTGTAGCATCTTGTAATTTATAGCAACCTGACCAATTAAGAAGCATTGAATTTAGGGGAAAACATCAGATGATCTTATTACTAGTAGTAAGAAATTACATTCTGCAATGCAACATTTTTTTTTTTAATGCAGAAACACCCATGAGCCTAGACATCCATGGCTCACACCTGTAATCTTAGCTACTCAGGACACTAAGATCTGGGAATCATGGTTTGAAGCTAGCCCAGTCAGACAAATCTAAGAGACCCCCATCTCCAAATATCTAGCAAAAGCCGGGTGCTGGTAGCTCATTCCTGTAATCCCAGCTATTCAGGAGGCTGAGATCTGAGGATCACAGTTCAAAGCCAGCCTGGGCAGGAAAGTCCATGAGACTCTTATCTCCAATAAACCACTAGAAAACCAGAGGTAGCACTGTGGCTCAAGTGGTAGAGTGCTCTCCTTGAGCTGAAGAGCTGAGGGACGGTGCCCAGGCCCAGAGTTCAAGCCCCACGACTGACAAAAAAACAAAAAACAAAAACTAATTCCTAGCAAAAAACGAAGTGGAGCTGAAGCCCAAGGGGTAGAGCTCCAGCCTGGAGCGAAAAGCAGAGCACTAACAGGAGACCCTAAATTGAAGCCCTAATTCAAACCCCAGTACAACACATCAAAGAAAACAAAAACCTAGGATAAATAAAATGAAAGCATTTAGGTATTCTCTCAGAAACTAACAAGAGAACCCAGTCAGTAAGGAAACTAGGAGCAACCTCCTCCCACCCCCTGTCCCTGTTGCTTTTCTTAATTTTATTTTTATTTTTAGGGGGTACTGAGGATTGAACCCTGAACTTTGTATCCCCATGAACTCCTAGTTTCCCCTATTCTACCCTGGTGCAGCCCAGAAATTTCCCTTCCTTTGCCTACTTTGGGTAACATCTCTCGTGTATCTTTTTGGTTTGGTTAGAATATTTATTTAGTTATCTATTTATTTTGAGACAGGGTCTTGGTATGGAGCTCAGGCTGGCTTCCAATTTATGATCCTCCTATCTCAGCCTTCTGACTTCTGAGTGTGCTGGAAATGCAGTTGTGGCCATCATACCCCATCTTTTTCATAGCCACAGGCCTCACTGGCTCCTGATTGTCTCCCAAAAGTTATTAGGCACTAGGGAGCTTCCAGATACATCACGGGGCTTGGGTGACTTGTAAGGACCGGAAGAGAAGAAAGGGTGAGGGTCAGAGTGAGCAGAGAGAGAGGAGAAGGGGTTGGGGAGATCAATCAACTACCACTATCCAGACTTCCACCAGTCCCAACCTGCTGTGTGGCATTTTTATATGCCATGCAAATGACGATGATGATGGAGCTGCTGACACAGCCACATTTGGAGGCCTTTCTACATACCAGGCCCTGTGCAAAACGTATTACTTAGTCATTAGTAATCTGGCACTCAGCAATGACCCCATTGGGGTTATTTGCAATTCTAATAATTACATCAAGCACACAAGATGGGCATTATGGTTCTTCATTTATTGTTGAGGCTCATGAGCCTCAAAGAGGGTCAACAACTCACCCCAGGGTACACAGCAAGCAGGTCAGTATCTTCTATGGGTGATGCCTGGGCTGCCCTGGTACCCTCCT